TGTCCTGGGCATTGCGAGCCATCATTCCAAGCACCACGCTCTGCACCTCAGGTTTGCAGGCGATGCGCAAACGCTCTTGATCTCGCCAGTCCAGTCCTTTCTCAGACAAAATTCGCTCATGGACACCTCCGCGACTCAGTTGCTGATAGCACATTGGTAAGGATGCAGCCTTCAAATTGAAGAAAGGCAGCCAACCGCCGGTTAGAAGCTCAAAGGCAGTCACCCCCAACATGTAGACATCGCTTCGAGTACAAAGATGTTCCTTCGCAATGACTTCTGGTGCTATGTATCTGGGATCACCTGGTGCGGCAACTAGCTCTGATCCCAAACAAACTGTCGCGTGCCCAAAGTCGCAAACGATGCACAAGGGTGATCCATCAGGTCTGGTCCCACCAATCAAAACATTTTCAGGTTTGAGGTCGCCATGCAAAACAAATTGCCGATGGCAGTAAGCCACTGCGCTCAGAATCTGCTGCATGGCTCCTGCCAAGGTTTAGACAACGGGATGGGTCCTGTTCTTTGGGACTATCCATTCACTGTGGAGACAGTCTCTAGTACCTTGCATGCCAATACTTTGCCGTCATCAATAGGCTAGCCATCTCACTAGGACTAGTGCCTTCTTCCCGATATAAGTACCCCATGTTTGCCCCCGAAATGAACAGATCCAACACAGAACCAGGTTTTTTAGGCGGAAGGGATTAGTGATTAGTGCTTTGTTCCGAAATCGGCTTTCATTCGCTCCTGCTATCCATGGAGCCCCTTCTGGTTGAGACCCAGCGGCGGCAGCAGCAGCAAATGTGGACAGGCTACCCTGTTCTGCCAGCTCGGTTACAATCAGCACTTCACCTGGAAATTTCACCACTTCAAAGATGCGAAGTAGATTGGGATGTGCCAAGGCTCGTAGCACACTGACCTCATCACCTTGACCTTCTTCCTCTGGGTCCAAACGTTCCAAATGCTTCACGGCTACTGGTCGACCAGTGCACAACTCGTTCGCTTGAAAAACCTCACCAAAGTGGCCTGCGCCAATATGTTTCTTCTTCTGATAGCGGCACCAAACAGCTTCTTCTGGGCTGGACTGAACCTCATGGCAACAAATCGTATTTCTATGTCTTCCAGCAGTTGCCAGGGTGATAGGGCACAGTCCCAGCAAAGTTTGCTGGAACATCCGGACGAGGGACGTCAAGGTTTTCACCGGTTCCTCAGGTCTGTGTTTGCTCAAGGGCTCTTCATACAAGTGATTTCCTGTAGCACTTGCTGGGACTCCAGGAACTTCAGCCTGTTCATCCAGCTCACTTACCACTGGCATGGCCACTTTTCCATTGCAGCCGTTGCTGGTGACGCTCTCCACCTCAGGAGACTTCCCTCGCAGCAGCTGCAGGTCTCCAAAGGATCCAAACATGCCAAAGGAGGCATCAGATCTTTCCGACAACAAACCGCCAACACCGAAGTGTTCCTCCACGCCCTGAATCACTGGAGCAAGGCTCTTCAAACTGAACTGAGTGTCACCTGTGAGGCTTACGTGCTTGACATAAGCCTGTTGTGCAATTGACAAAAATAATAACGGCTCTCTCATCAAGAGGGTGAAACGTCGAAGGGAACTCTTCCTCCCTGCAAATTCTGCTTCCAGCATTGCAATATGTCTAGAGGCTCTGATTGGAATGTGTTTGCGGTTAAAGATCGTGATGGCAAAGGGCTTGCTAGCCAATGGATCACGAAGTGCATGCCAGTAGTCATAGCAATCAGAAGCCCAAGCTTCCTGCTGGAGACCCAGCAAATCCAAAATGTCCATCATGTCCCTCTCGCCCATGCCGTTCCCTTTAGCGTGAACTGTCAGGGCAGAGTGACGCAGCGGAGCCAACTCTTGGGAATCATCATCCACAAAAAGCACCTGCCAGAGCACATTGAAGAATTTCACAAAACATGGCTCCCCCATGGAGGCTTCGTTTCAACCGTTACTCATTGCCTCAACGTAAGCATACTTTGGGCAAATTAAACGAAACCTGCCTGGAGTATCATTCCATACAGTTCTGCTTGTTTTGGGAATCCGGTCCAGAAAAACTGACCAGGGGTCTAGAAAATAATCAGAAAAGAGGCACCTGCTCGCGAGTGAGCATGTACTGATGCTGATATCGATGAACAATCTCCGTTTTTGAGTCCCATTCTCCCTCTTTCCATTTGCCAAGCAAACTCCAGAGACGGTCTACTTCTTCTGACAGGCCAGTGACATTCTGCTCAGTCTCAATGTCATAGGCTGTGCGTGTGCCATAGGCTACCCCGATGTTTCCATAGAGAGCATCAAACTTTCCAAGCAAATCCACTTCCTGCAAACACTTTCGTGCTACTCCGACATATCCACGGGTCACCAACACAATTTGACAGCCGCTGTTGATCAAACCATCCAAGAGCTTTCGAATGGCCGTGACCCGGCTGAACCCACCAAAGGCTTGCTCGATCCATGCTGGTCCAAGTTCGGAGAGGCGCCGCAACTGACCGCGTTCAGTCAGGGCATGGGGCTCTGAAACCACCATTCCACGCATGGCCAACATGCAAACTTGAGCATCCACCCAACCAGCCAGCGATTTGAACACGTGAACCACTGTCAGTGTGAAATCAAAGTCAAAGAAAACGATCGGAGCAAAGTCCCTCACACGTTGTTTGATGGCCACTTTGTCTTGATCTTTTGTGTTCCAGCCGAGAAAGTGTTGTAGTTTCGATCGGATGCCATCGATTGCGGTCCCATCTGCCATCGACATGGCCAGCTATATAAGACACAACCAACACAGACGGGAAAGCTGAGTGTGTCATTCAGAGATTAAGTTTCTTCAGTATGTTCGAACTGGATTCAAAATAAATTGCTTAAAAACTTAAAAAAATAAAACTATTTAAAACTTAAAATATCTTAAGACTTGTCTTCAGATGCCAAATTCAAATATTCTTCCACTACACTCCACTTGAGCTCAGCACGGAGATGCGGCACACTGCAACAATGAAGCAGAACACTCAAATGATGAGTGCTATGGCATAGCTATGGCTGCTGTCGTAGAATCAAAAGTGTCTGGAAGCGCGCTTCGTTTTCTCTATATATGCATGTGGTGCATGTGGGTATGTGTTCCGAGACAAACCTCAGACTACAGCATTCTTGACCGTCAAACCACAGAATCAACTTCCTTTCAAGTCAGATTTGCAGGATGTCATTTGTGGCTGTGATGACGGATTCAAAATGCTGCAGGCTTTCATGAGGGAAGTCGCTCGGAAAGAGGCATAGCTGATGCTATGCGTCCATGCACAAAAATCCACTTACTGTACAATGAACATCCATCTAGAGCTCTATTTCAAGTCCCAAGTCACAAGCCACGGAGTCAACTCTTTCACCGCATTACACTTTGGAGCCGCTGGGTGGAATTGATCTCACATGTCAGGAGTACAACGTAATGGTGACACCCACATTCTTGACAACCTCACAACAGAAACATTGCATAGATCAGGTGTTTCATAGTTTCAAAAACAGCAATGTACACGCCACATGTTCGATTTGCAGAAAACTGAGCACGAGGGCACATGCCAAATGCCCAACATTGAGTTTGACAGGTTTCTGCGCAGCCTGACAACTGGCTCAGCATCAAATAAACTGCTAGATTCACAGACAATGGAAACAGTTGCAGAAGCTGAAAGAGCCTGCCACACCATTATCCACTGGACACAAAATTCAAAGGCCTGATAACTGCATGTGAACACTCTAGTCATGGTTTTGCTAATTTAGTGTTCAGGACTCAGCCATACTCAGCCGCTCTTTTGCTCTTTTGTGCAGATTTGTGCAGATTTGCAGTCTACAAAGCATCTGACATCGAATGGTGATTGTCACCAATCAGGATTTACCAAGGTCAATGTTTGACATCTTGGTCTGGCCAATGGCCAAAGTGGACGGCCAATTACTGACGGCCTAAGTTAGGGCAGTTGGCACTGGATTGGGGCGCAAGTGGTAATATGTGCACCAAGGGAGTTGCGGTCGCTGTTTCTTTTCCTTTCGATCCTTGGGAAGTTTCGTCGCCTTTGTAGACTCCGGCGTTTCGCTCGGTGGAGCTGCAGGAAGCAGTTCTGCCTTCAATGCAGAGATCACAGCACGCACGGGTGCAAAGCGGATCTTCTCCTTCATGGGTCCGCGGCGATCAACCCCCTCAGTCCAAAGGATCATCTGTTCAGCAAAGTCATCCAAGTAGATTTGAGCTTCAGGAACGACATCTTCAGACTGTGCTACTGAAGCTGAGCGAGTTATGCTTTCAAAAAGCTCCTTGGAGTTTTCTGGTGAGACATCGATGTGCATGGCAAGAGCTGTGAAAGCTTCCAAATCCAAACTCAGCAAAGAAAGAGGTGACTGTGACTGCACATTCCCCGAGGTACTGTGTTCTGTCACTTGCGGCCTCTTGTGAGACCCGGACACTTTTCTTGGAGTTCCTTGTCTCGATCCTTGTCTCATTTGTTTCATGATCAAGCGCATCTCCATAGGCAAAAGCTCTAAGAGAAGATCAGCCAACTGTCCGGGCGCTGACTTGGCATGTGCGGCCTCGAGTAGCTCCGGCCATTCTGCAGCAACCCGTTGCCAAAAATCCTCCAAACTCGTTTTCGGTGCAGCTGAATGAAGCGAATTCTTCAGCTTCTCCAGGAGATTGGATTCATTGGAGCCATCTGAGTTACAGCATTCTGCACCCTTCAAGAAGTCGAAATACTCTGCAGCCTCCTCTCTGCAGATGCTCCAGCTCTCCATCCAATTGGCAAAAGTGTCTTCATCCACATGACATTCTGGAGAGTGCACACAACTCTCCAAGATTCTCAATGCATCCCTGATACTGCCAAATCTTGCCACCAGCTGTTTCCAGAGGTCATGCCAAAGGAGCCTTGTCTCGTCCGAAAGCACTGCCTCACGCAAATCTGCCATCCCTATGCAGCCTCCATGGCCTCGGCCTCCATGGCCTCGGCCTCCATGGCCTCGGCCTCGGCCTGCATGGCCTGCATCTTCCAGAAGCTCGAACAAGTGCCAGGCCTGGGCAGGGGCACCAAAACTTGGAAAATCTGTGGCTGCACCATGCGGCCATGCCCACCATGCTGCACCCTGCGGCCTGGCAAGATTCCATGCCCAAATCCTCCGCAAGGTTCATGAAATCCTGCTTGGAAACCTGGAACGACTCCGTCCGACTCAGCAGTTGGACTTCGAAATCCACTGAAGTTCAGGGCAACAAAAGCATTCAAAAGCGTTGCTGTTTGGAGTTTTGTAGGTGCAGCGTATCAAACCCGCATGCACACCTCATCCTGCTGGTGGCTCTGCAGTACCTCCTAGAGCAGATTCGTGTGCAGCCTCAACACGCCTTCACATGCCTCAAACTCATTTCATTTTTCTCCATGTTGCTCCACCGTCTGGCCCAGCCACAGCAAATCAAAGTTACCTGCACACTGACGAACCAGCCTCCAACTCCTCGCGGCTCCACTCTTCCAGAAGCTGCTGGCGCACTTGTTGCAGCGAGAGCAAGCCCTGGCCAAGCAGAGTCAAATGGACGAAGAACTCACAATCAAAGCAAGAGACGGCCATTGGTCATTTCTAGTTGGCTCCCACCACTTGCCTCTGGTGTGTGTTCGATTAAGTCACAAAGTGCTATGCCCTCTGCACGATTCATTGCTGCCTCCAGTGATCAAGGCTTTGAAGTGCAGTCTCCACAGAAAGAACTTGCCAACAAGATCTAACAAGTCTAGCAAGTGGTGTGAGTCCGTGCGTCAAAGCTCACTGTGACTGTAAATTAGAGAAAAGTGAAATGAAACTACGCAAGCATCTGCATTTGGAGCGCTTCCTCTCCAGGTGCTACCAAGGGGCGAAGAGCTTGCAGGCCAACGTATTGTTGCCATGATGCAAAAACGACGTCACACACCTTAGAGCAGCAACAGCAGGCTCAAGATCACTCAAGTGAATCGGGAGCTTGAACCACTCAATATCCATTCAATATTCTTGAACAATCAGATCTTTGGCCGCTGCCAAGTAAATTCTGCCTTGCTTAGTGGCAGGAGGGAATAGTCCTTCACACTTGAGAGCACAAGCCAAACTTATTTCGGCAAGGTGGCTGCAAGCACCAAGGAATGACAAGCTGATACAACACGTTCCCTCTCACAGAGATTTGGTCAAACAGTTCATTATACTGTCATTAATTTTGCAGAAGAATTCAAAACTCAACCATGCTTGCAGATCCTGTAGTTTCATTGAAGTGCATTTCTACCATTGACATTGATTATCCTAGTATTTCCACTACTATTTCACAAGAAGAAACTGCAAGCGAGCCTTTCGACCTTTGCCAGCAGCGCGTTTCATGGCACGGAACCTCATATCCAGACACTGTGTCAAAAAATCAATGTTCATTGAAACAAGAAGTGAGCAGTGCTCAAAATACCTGTTGGTTGACTATTATATGGGGACAGTTCAACAGTTATAGGGGTTTCTCACAATTTATGGGAAATCCTATCAGCCAGTGCGAGTTTGCCAAATTACAGATGTTCGACTCAGGCCTAAGGAGCATACGCACGAGTGAGGTTTCCAAATCTCCGGGTGAGAACGCCCAAGAACTCCAGAACCTGCGAAAGGGAACGTCTTATCCCAGAAGCTTCTTGATCATTGCTGTACAAATTCTACTAGTACATCAAATACCCCATGGTTTTCCATTACATCCCTATTGTTGATGGTTAAATCCCATGGAATATAGATTCCCATTAGGAATAATTATGTTCCCGTTGGGACCAGATTTGGGGATTCAACCATCAACAATACGGAATGGGATATGGGGATATTCCGATGTTCCCTGATTCTTCATGGTTCCGTGAATCCCCCATCGTTCAACATGTTCAAGCCATTTAAAATTCATGGTGTTTATCATGGTTCATCCATTGTCAGGTGCTACATTATCATAGTTAATTCATTTAAATTCATTTAATCCCTTTATAATGGTTAGTCCCCGTTTCTCACGGTTAATCCATCAAATATCCATCAGAAAATCCCATCGAATCTGTGGCACATTCCGCCTCAAGGCTCTGCTCGGATCCCACCGAGAACTTTGGACTTCCAACTGACGGAGACCACCTGGTGGAGATGGGCCACGGCTGGAGGAAACCATGGCTTTCGATATCGGTGCCCCAGTAAAAATGATGGGGTTAACCAAAAAAATGGGGAGATTGGTTGACAGTTGATAGTTGATTAGTTGAGAAGATATGGCAAGTGGTGAGTGTGCAGTGCCTCTCATGTGACAAACAAAGAGGGCTCGATGGAACTGCCTCCTTCACAGGTATGGGCACAGATCTGCAAAGGGCCAAAGGGCTTGGAAATATCTGCACAAAGCATCGTCAAACGTGGGCGACGTTGCACTTGAATTTTTGTCAAACGATGGCCACAAGAACTGGTCCTTTGGGAGAGGAGACAGAGTCCGGCGCCTCAGTTTTGCAGAGTGTGCACAACGATGCATAATGTATATGAACGCTTCACTGCCCTTCACTGCCCTTCACTGCCCTTCACTGCCCTTCACTGCCCTTCACTGCCCTTCACTGCCCTTCACTGCCCTCTCTTGGGTCTATCTTCAGGGGAGGTGCTTGCCAGAGCTTTGTGACGGAACTGGAAGGAGACTGTTCAGTACCTGGCACAGATGGACTGAGAAGGTGAAGCTGCTGAGTGATGACCGGTATGCAAAGAATGTCGATGCCCTGGCGCACGGTCGCCAGCATGTCATCCCCGTCCTTACTTCTTAAACGCCTCAGTTCCAGCTTTAAATGATATGTGCAATGATATGCAACTAGGTTAAGTGTCCTTTCCCCCTTTCTTGGAGCGGTATCCAAGAAGGATATCATGCATCACTATTGAATCACTATGCAAGTATTCAAGCCCATCCCTCAAGTTCAATAAGTTGTCCATTGCAGCGACCATGACCTAGTCCCCAACGATAGCAAGGGTCCGCTGCACCTTTGCCTTTTGACCTCAACAAAGAGCAACAGAAGTCTCAAGTCACGATTTGCGAAAAAGGTGGTCAAGAGTCGAGCGGAAAGACATATAGGTAGGACAGGACTCTGAGAAGATTAAAAAAATTAAAAACAAACCTGGCAATGCATTTTTTTTTAATTCTGAGGGCCATGCAGGTGAAAGTGGTTTCAGCTTGACCTGTCAGGAACTGGTGATCACAAAATTGCTGTGAACAAGCTGGACGGACCTGTGGTTTTGGATTGCAACCAGCTGCAGCCCAAGGCGGAACCTAGGGATGACATTCACCGGGAGTCCAAGCTTCCAGAAGACAAATTTCCATGAGCTACTAGTTATCTTATCTTATCTTGATATTCGTATGTCAATGACAGCAGATTGAAGATATCCGAAGTCTTGGCAATCTGAACTGCCTTTTCGAACGCTTCGCGCCGTCAACGGCTCAATGTGAAACAACATGAAACAACAAACAGGCGTGGTGAAAGGTCCCGTGGCGTTCGTAGTGCGCATGACAGGAGCATCTCGGAACACGGTCCCCGTGTCAGACATGCTTCACAGGGAGTTCACAAGCGCAAGCAACATTTGCTCGGCTTTCCCTTAGCACCCGCCCTTCAGAATCAGCACATGTCACTGTTGGACTTCTAAGAATCTTTAAGATTAGTTTTTGCAGGTACTGCAAGACATTGGCTATGCCTTTTGAAACTGGCCCAGAGAATAATTTGCCTCAAAGGGCTAGTGCAAATTCGTAAGGCGCACTCTCTTCAGCCTGTTGGGCGCAGCAATCTACACATCCACGTCTGGCCTTCGATTCCACAAATGATATACAGTAATATATATCCGCCGACCCCTGCCGACAGCAGGGGGAGCGCGTCAGAGAAGAGATTACAAGCAACAAGTGTTGTGCAGTGCAAGTGAGGGGCAAGCGAGGGGGGGACAGAAAGGGAAGCCAGGGGCAGAGTAAGAAGCCCAAAAAAGGAAGCGAGAAAGGAGGGGCAGTCTCAGCGAACGTAGCGGGGCAAGCGAGGGGGGGACAGAAAGGGAAGCCAGGGGCAGAGTAAGAAGCTCAAAAAAGGAAGCGAGAAAGGAGGGGCAGTCTCAGCGAACGTAGCAAGCGAAAGAAGCACGAAACAAGAAGTTAGAAGCAAGAATGCAGAAGCAAGAGTAAACGAGCGACAGAAAGTAATGTTTGGCACTCTGGGCTACGGGCCGCGGGCCCAATCCGTCCTTCACTGCCATGGTGTTTTAGCCCTGCGAGGAGGTCCCTTGACCGGAGCTGTGCCGCACGAAAGCCAGCTGTCAGACAATGCAGGCAAGTTGGCAGTTGGCAGTGCAGGAACGCAGGGAAAAGCTAGGTTTGAGCTGCAAGACGACGCAGGCAAAGTGGCAGGGAAAAGCAAGGTTTGAAGCTAGTTTCTAGGCAGTTCAGAAGGCAACGTTTGGCACCGTGGGCTGCCGGCTGCGGGCCCGATCCGTCCTTCAGTGCCATGGTGTTGGGGCCCTGCGGAGGGGTCCTTGGACTCGAGCTGACGGCAAGACACAGCAAGGTTTGAAGCTAGTTTCGACTTGACCGGAGCTGTGCCGCACGAAAGCCAGCTGTCAGACAATGCAGGCAAGTTGGCAGTTGGCAGTGCAGGAACGCAGGGAAAAGCAAAGTTTGAAGCTAGTTTCTAGGCACTGCAGAAAGCACCGTTTGGCAGTATGGGCTGCCGGCCGCGGGCCCGATCCGTCCTTCACTGCCATGGTGTTTGAGGCCTGCGACAGGGTCCTTGGACTCGAGCTGACGGCAGGAAACAGCAAGGTTTGAAGCTAGTTTCTATAGGCAGTTCAGAAAGCAACGTTTGGCAGTATGGGCTGCCGGCCGCGGGCCCGATCCGTCCTTCACTGCCATGGTGTTTTAGCCCTGCGAGGAGGTCCCTTGACCGGAGCTGTGCCGCACGAAAGCCAGCTGTCAGACAATGCAGGCAAGCTGGCAGTTGGCAGTGCAGGAACGCAGGGAAAAGCAAAGTTTGAAGCTAGTTTCTAGGCACTGCAGAAAGAAACGTTTGGCAGTATAGGCTGCCGGCCGCGGGCCCGATCCGTCCTTCACTGCCATGGTGTTGGAGGCCTGCGACAGGGTCCTTGGACCCGAGCTGACGCCAGGAAACAGCAAGGTTTGAACCGGCAGACCTAGTCCGTCCCTCAGGGCCCTGCTGTTTGGCTGTGGCGCAGGCACCGTTTTGGGTCAGACAGCAAGGTTTTCTTGTAGGTTCAGAAAGCAACGTTAGGCACTCACGGCCGTGGCCCGCAGGCCCGATCCGTCCTTCACTGCCATGGTGTTTGAGGCCCGCGACAGGGTCCTTGGACTCGAGCTGACGGCAGGAAACAGCAAGGTTTGAAGCTAGTTTGTAGGCAGTTCAGAAAGCAACGTTAGGCACTCACGGCCGTTTTTGAATGTTTGTGACGGCCGGAAAGGGCGCGTTTTTGAAGGTTTGACGGCTGGAAGAGAGCTTGTTTTCTTGTAGGTTCAGAAAGCAACGTTAGGCAGTGGGAGCGGTTGCCCGGAGGCTCGGTCCGTCCTTCAGGGCCCTGCTGTTTAGGCGTGGCGGAGGCGCCGTTTGTGAGCCTTGACGGCTGGAAGAGAGCTAGTTTGGGAGCCGTTGCCCGGAGGCTCGGTCCGTCCTTCAGGGCCCTGCTGTTTTGCTGTGGCGAGGGCGCCGTTTGTGAGCCTTGACGGCTGGAAGAGAGCTAGTTTTCTTGTAGGTTCAGAAAGCAACGTTAGGCAGTGGGAGCCGTTGCCCGGAGGCTCGGTCCGTCCTTCAGGGCCCTGCTGTTTGGGCGTGGCGGAGGCGCCGTTTGTGTGCCTTGACGGCTGGAAGAGAGCTAGTTTGGGAGCCGTTGCCCGGAGGCTCGGTCCGTCCTTCAGGGCCCTGCTGTTTTGCTGTGGCGGGGCGCCGTTTGTGAGCCTTGACGGCTGGAAGAGAGCTAGTTTTCTTGTAGGTTCAGAAAGCAACGTTAGGCAGTGGGAGCCGTTGCCCGGAGGCTCGGTCCGTCCTTCAGGGCCCTGCTGTTTTGCTGTGGCGAGGGCGCCGTTTGTGAGCCTTGACGGCTGGAAGAGAGCTAGTTTGGGAGCCGTTGCCCGGAGGCTCGGTCCGTCCTTCAGGGCCCTGCTGTTTTGCTGTGGCGAAGGCGCCGTTTGTGAGCCTTGACGGCTGGAAGAGAGCTAGTTTTCTTGTAGGTTCAGAAAGCAACGTTAGGCACTGGGAGCCGTTGCCCGGAGGACGGGAATGGCATGAAGGGAAGGAGCCTGGTTGCCTATATCCCCCTCCGGTCGTTTTGGGCGTGGCGGAGCGCACCGTTTGTGAGCCTGACTGGCTGGAAGAGCGTTTTTGAAGGTTTTGACGGCTGGAAGGAGAGCTTGTTTTTTGTAGGTCAGGAAAAGCAACGGTAGGCAGTGGGGAGCGGTTGGCCCGGAGGCTCGGTCCGTTACTTCAGGGCCTGCTCGTTTTGGGCGTGGCGGAGGCGCCGTTTGTGAGCCTTGACGGCTGGAAGGAGAGCTAGTTTGGGAAGCCTTGCCGGGAAGGCTCGGTCCGTCCTTCAGGGCCCGCTGTTGGCTGCTGGCGAGGGCGCCGTTTGTGAGCCTGACGCCTGGAAGAGAGCTAGTTTCTTGGTGAGTAGTTAGGTTCAGAAAGCAACGTTAGGCAGTGGGAGCCGTTGCCCGGGGATCGGTCCAGTCTTCAGGACCCCTGCTTGTTTGGGAGTGGCGGAGGCGCCGTTGTGAGGCCTTGACGCTGGAGAGAGATAGTTTGGGAGCCGTGCCCGAAGGCTCGGTCAGTCCTTCAGGGCCCTGCTGTTGTGTGTGGCGAGGGGGCGCCGGTTACGTTTGGGAGACCTTGGACGGCTGGAAGAGAGCTTGTTTTCTTGTAGGTTCAGAAAGCAACGTTAGGCAGTGGGAGCGGTTGCCCGGAGGCTCGGTCCGTCCTTCAGGGCCCTGCTGTTTGGGCGTGGCGGAGGCGCCGTTTGTGAGCCTTGACGGCTGGAAGAGAGCTAGTTGGGGAGCCGTTGCCCGGAGGCTCGGTCCGTCCTTCAGGGCCCTGCTGTTTTGCTGTGGCGAGGGCGCCGTTTGTGAGCCTTGACGGCTGGAAGAGAGCTTGTTTTCTTGTAGGTTCAGAAAGCAACGTTAGGCAGTGGGAGCCGTTGCCCGGAGGCTCGGTCCGTCCTTCAGGACCCTGCTGTTTGGGCGTGGCGGAGGCGCCGTTTGTGTGCCTTGACGGCTGGAAGAGAGCTAGTTTGGGAGCCGTTGCCCGGAGGCTCGGTCCGTCCTTCAGGGCCCTGCTGTTTTGCTGTGGCGGTGGCGCCGTTTGTGAGCCTTGACGGCTGGAAGAGAGCTAGTTTTCTTGTAGGTTCAGAAAGCAACGTTAGGCAGTGGGAGCCGTTGCCCGGAGGCTCGGTCCGTCCTTCAGGGCCCTGCTGTTTGGGCGTGGCGGAGGCGCGGTTTGTGAGCCTTGACGGCTGGAAGAGAGCTAGTTTGGGAGCCGTTGCCCGGAGGCTCGGTCCGTCCTTCAGGGCCCTGCTGTTTTGCTGTGGCGAAGGCGCCGTTTGTGAGCCTTGACGGCTGGAAGAGAGCTAGTTTTCTTGTAGGTTCAGAAAGCAACGTTAGGCACTGGGAGCCGTTGCCCGGAGGCTCGGTCCGTCCTTCAGGGCCCTGCTGTTTGGGCGTGGCGGAGGCGCCGTTTGTGAGCCTTGACGGCTGGAAGAGAGATAGTTTGGGAGCCGTTGCCCGGAGGCTCGGTCCGTCCTTCAGGGCCCTGCTGTTTTGCTGTGGCGAGGGCGCCGTTTGTGAGCCTTGACGGCTGGAAGAGAGCTAGTTTTCTTGTAGGTTCAGAAAGCAACGTTAGGCAGTGGGAGCCGTTTCCCGGAGGCTCGGTCCGTCCTTCAGGGCCCTGCTGTTTGGGCGTGGCGGAGGCGCCGTTTGTGAGCCTTGACGGCTGGAAGAGAGCTAGTTTGGGAGCCGTTGCCCGGAGCCTCGGTCCGTCCTTCAGGGCCCTGCTGTTTTGCTGTGGCGAGGGCGCCGTTTGTGAGCCTTGACGGCTGGAAGAGAGCTAGTTTTTTTGTAGGTTCAGAAAGCAACGTTAGGCACTGGGAGCCGTTGCCCGGAGGCTCGGTCCGTCCTTCAGGGCCCTGCTGTTTTGCTGTGGCGGAGGCGCCGTTTGTGGGCCTTGACGGCTGGAAGAGAGCTAGTTTGGGAGCCGTTGCCCGGAGGCTCGGTCCGTCCTTCAGGGCCCTGCTGTTTTGCTGT